ACAAACTAATTAGGAGGAGTAAACAATTTTCCGGGGTGTTCTCAGTCAACATACAAAACTGGCTGCAAAAGTGAGTGTACAGGGAAGGTTTTAGTAGGTTTGGGCATTTTAATGAATTCATACTAATGACCTTTGAAAAGGCTAATACAGATACAGTAGATCTAACTGTAAAAAATTTCACACCACATCAACATGGACAGAAATAGTGTCCTTGGGCTTAGAAGAGATGTCAGGAGACAGATCTTCATCCTGGGCTGAGTCCACGTAACTGGAAGCAGCCCTTTCTTCTTCATATTCTTCCTCAGGGAGTGCAAAGGCAGACAGAGGGGAACTCGGAGGGGGAGGGAGAAGGTGAGGGGGGCCCGTTGCGACCCTTGCGGTCTGGAAGTTCTGTGACTGGGTCATTATAGACCAACATACATCTCACTGCAGAGCAAGAAGGGTTAATGGCTGTTCCAAGACACGGTCATTATTGTTGCCAGCAGGCAATGTGGTACTCATACCCCTTTAAGGCAAGAAGAGGTTATAACCAACTCTACCAGGGCACCTGAGACATAGCGAGGACCCAAACCTCAGGCGAGCTGTATGTGTCGCCTAAGACAGTGCTATGTAGCTTTGGAGCAGTTTGCAGAGACCATAGAGGCACACAACGCATAGAATTGTTGTTGGCTGGGAGTGGAAGGGGTAATTGTGACAGACTGCACCGTCACTGTGCTAGTTGGAGGGGGCTGCAGACTGGCCTCTTACCCACTGATTATGGCCCAGCAAGAGAACAGGAGATTTTGGGGCTAAATGTACATTTTATATGCAGACAGTGACTGTTGCCCTCTGGGAAATATATGTTTTAAAATGGTGTAGGACAAGAACTTGGCCACATGGTTTGTCTATTCAAAATGGAGACTTAATTATCTGATTCACTGTGTAATCTGTTATCTGTGTTTGTCATGAGGGGGAAGGGAGGGGTGTTGTATCCCTCCCAGTGTCTCTAAAGTGAATGTCCTGTGTTTAATAAAGGAGTTGCTCTTTCTATGTTGAACCTTCAACATGAGTTTTGCCTCGTGATTGGGGGTTAGGGGATGGTTACTGCGAATCTGCTGGCTGAGAGAGGGGTTTGGCGGGCAGGAGACGCTCTTTGGCGGAGGTACCGAGTCGGGGTACCTGGGGTGCGTCACAGTAATACTCGGCTGTTCTTATAACTTTGATTAGCCAGTTTCCAGTCATCTGAATTCAGCTGCATAACCCATTGGTACAGAATTAACTCTGTGTCCTGTGATGTATGATCAAGAAAAAGATATGGTAAATACAAGTGCAAAATGAAAAAAAAATAATTTAAAATGTTTGTTTACCAATGCCAAGCAGATAGGAGAGTTGGAAGCTTTGCTGCATAAAGATCACTATGATATAAGTGGAATAGCTCAATCTCGGCTTTTGTCTTCACATGATTGGGTTGTTAATATTCCTGGCTACACATTGTAAAATTAAAAGGTGCTGTGTCTGTTTCTATGTGAGAAGTGAGCCATCAATGTAAAAGAGGGCCTTTTATATTAAAGATGATCCTAGACTGATGATCCTTGCCTGAGTTTGCCCAACCCACTCCAAACTGTGACCTCCACTACTCCCAACTGGCCCAATCAGTGGCCGCAGTTACAGTAGGGGCATTCTCTGCCTCTCTGAGATGTATAGCTGTCGGCGGAGAATGTGCCTCTGTAACTGAATAGGTCGGGAGGAGGGGATGGAAGTCACAGTTTAAGTGGGCATGAACAAACTCAGGCAAACTGTTGATAGACAATGTGATGGTGCCGAGGCATTATAGGCAAAACTACATTTGGATGTGCACACTGCCCAGGACTGGTTTTGCTGCCTGAACTCTTTCCCTTCCTGTTTCTGTGTTTTGGATAAGGTGTCAGTCACTTCTGGTTTGATTTGTGTCACATAGTGAATCTTTTCTGGCTTCCGTTTACCTAGCTGAAGCACTTTATAGTTTACCTCTCAAACTTGTTCAAGGATCTCAAACAAGCCTTGCCACTGAGCCAGAAATGTAATTTCCACAGTAGGAACTAACAAGACCCTGTCTCCAGGTTGAAAAGTTCTTGTTGAGCTATTGTAAATCCTGGTTTGAACCTCCTGGGCTCGTTGCCTATACTTATGAACCACAGGCATGACTGCTGCGAATCTATCCTACACCTAAGAGATATGTTCAATCTAGGGATGCCACAATACAATATTTTCCAGACCGAACAACAGTACCGATACTTTTTCTCAAGTGCTCGCAGATACCAATTACTGATACCTTTTTGTTTACCGTCATGTGATGGTTTTTAAAAACAGACTATTGATTTTAGGACAGTGGTGGAGCGCCAGGGCCAGCTGCACCTGCAGAATACCACCAGCTATAGAGGACTACTGTAAGCTTCTCTGCAACGCCAGGCTTGGATCTCAACTGCGGGGATGCGTACGGTTTGATCAGTGGTCGGTCTCGGGGATACTCTCTCAATTGATTAGAGATGTATATGAGACCAGTAACATCATTTAAACCGTAGAAGGGGAATAAGGTAAGCAGCTATTATAGCACCCTGGCGATTACCTGTAGATGGACTATTGCCCCTAGAAGGTGAGAGTCTGTACAGCACTAGAATGGAAAGGATACGGACTTCACCCTGGTGGAGAACACAGTGTATAACCAGACAGCAGCGATAACCATATGCAAGTAATGTCTCTTACAGTTTGTTTCAATTATACTACAGTTATACACAGTATGCTTCAGTCCAATACCCCTTTGTATAGTGCCAACAGGCTAATAGGATACTTGCGGTTGGCGGTATGTCAGAGGGGATGTCCCTTAGCTTGTTCTAGTGATGAGCACTACTTCCAGGGTGGTGGATGCTGTGGGTGATGGTTGGTGAGGCTCTCCTGTGAGCAATCCCAGTAGGCTGGTCTCCAGAGATGGTGGGGATCAGGATGAGGAGTTGTTAGTGGTAGCAGGTTGAATGACCTGGTCACTTGTGCGGTCTGTCGGTGCAGAGAGTGAATCGTCCGCGTTCACTGTTACCAACAGTAGGACGCCGACGGTTCGTTGCGCGTGCGCCGGGGGAGGAGCTAACGCACGCCGTGCGCCGGAGGGAGCCGCTAACGACCGCCGTGCGCCGGAGGGAGCCGCTGAGGTCCGTCGTGCACCTGCGCAGTCCCGGCTTACAACGAGGGGACGGAACCGAGTAAGTCCGTTACAACTACAAACCACAGTGATACATTATACAGCAATGCAGAATAATATCAGCTATAGAGAAGTACAAATCCCAGCAATTCATTAAACAGCCATGCCGAATAATACCATCAACCATACAGAACTACAAATCCTAGCAATACATTATACAGCAATGCAGAATACCACCAGCTATAGAGGACTACAAGACGCTGCAATAAATTATATAGCAATGCAGAAAAATATGACGCTACATACTCTACCTTTCTCACTTGGGCTGCGTAGGCGATATCACCAGAGCTGCGCGGGTGGGTCTCGCCAGGTCTGCGCTGGGTTTCCCTATGGCTGTGTGTGGGTTTTCCCAGGGCTGTGCGGGTATCACCAGCACTGGGCGGACAGATGTGATCCCATCAGGGCTGCACGCGGTGTCACTAGGGGTGTGCGAGCGGGTGCGGGTCTCACCAGGACTGTGCAGGAGGCTCTCACCAGGGCTGTTTATGTGGGTCTCACCAGGGCTGTGCCAAGGCTCCCCATGGCTGTGCCGTGGTGGAGATGTTTGGCCAAATGGAAACTGTAAATAGCCAAAGGAGGATGTGGATATAGTATACTTGGACTTTGCAAAAGTGTTTGAAACAGTTCCCCATAGAAGGCTAATGTGTAAGCTGTGGTCTGTAGGCTTAGAAAATGTACAGTAGTCTGTAAATAGATGAAAACTGTATTAAGAAAGCGGTGATTAATAATGCACACTCTGAATGGGGTTGTTTCCCAATGTTCAGTGTTGGGACCGTTACCCTACTGATAAATGATTTAGAGTTTGAGATTGAAAGTACCAATTCTATGTTTGCAGGCACAACGCTTTGTAGTGAAATAAAGTCCTTACAGAATGTCTTAAAATTACCAAGCAGACCTGAATGTACTGTTTAACTGAGCAACTATGTGGCAAATTAAGGTTAATATGATAAATGTAAAGTTATGCACTTGGGAGCTAAAACATCCACGTGTCAAACATTCTAGAGAATGATCAATTGGTGGAGCCAATAATCAAGACGTTCTGGTAGGTCACAGACTTCATAAAAGTATGCTATGCCAAGCTACAGTTTCTAAAGCAAGCAAAATACCTTTCATGTGTTAAAAGGGACATAGACTCCACATAGAGAGACATAGCCTTGCCCCTGAATAAAGAATTAATAAGACCTCATCTGGAAGATGCAGTTCAGTTTTTGGTACCAGTTCATAAAAAAAGGTGTTGGGGAACAGGAAATAGAATGCACTTAAATAATATTGAGAAAGGAAGTGAACCTCTGATATGCATAGCCTAGTAACACGTGCCACCAATTGAACCAGAAGTACCCAGCAGCCATGGCCTCACCTGGAGAAGAACCAGCTACAGCACTGCTTAGTCATTGGGTCAGATCTGGAGACTTTTCTGGACTGGACTCTGCTCCCTCCATGTAGTGCCTCCATACAAAGAACAATCTTGAACCAGCTGCTTAGACTGGACTTCCATATGATGTCTGGTAGGTGAGATTTTTTAAATATTCTGTAACTGCATTACCTTTTACCTGCATTAAACGCTTACTTTTCTACTGCACTTAGATCTGTGAGCCGGGTTTCTTTGTTGTCTTTGCCTTTTCATTATACTTGTTTTAGCGTCCATTTAAACCAATACCCATCATAGCTGATCCACTTCTCCCTACCCAATAAGCCAGTGCTAGCCTCTTTGCCTCTTCACCTCCGCTACTTCCAACTCCTCCCCCTGCATTCATATAAAACATGTAAAGTGTCATATTGAATTTCTAACCTTTGCAGCGTGCACCATGGTTTCTGCAAGATCTTCAATCTCATCTTCACTGTTAAACACACTCTCGAAGTCCTGGTAAGTCCATCCATCAAATAAGACTCGTGGAACTAAAACACAAATGGTCAAGAACATAAACCTAAATAGTGTACTTCTAGGTTAGGTTAATTGTAGATACCAATGTCTTTTAATCGTTTTCAATTACTACAATTTACTGTTCATTTACACTGATCATATTATGGACATAATGACATGAAGCAACAGAACAAGATTTAAAAAAATGCCCTTCTAAGCACATCTATTTTATGGCAATGAAAGAAGGTAAATAATTTTAAAGGATAATTAAACCCTCGGGGGGTTTGCATATAGCTACTGCTAGCGAGAAATGATGTACCTTAATGTTTAACCCTTTCGCTGCCCATGACGTATGCCATTCCTCGCTGGCAGCAGGCCCCTTTAAACAGACTCCCGGAGGTTATACTGTTTACATGTGTAAAGCCAACTGTCTGCTTTACACTGGAAGTGATGCTGGCGGCTGAGCCGGATCCTTTCCTGGGGCCAGTATAGTGCGCCCCTACCCTGGCTGAGACTCCCGCCTTGCTACCCAGGCTCCGCTGCCCCTCCTGTGGGCCTGGGACTGGCATCACGGGTGTCGGCAGAAAGCGGTGAAAGAGACTGGCAAACATCCGTTTGCTGTTCTCCTCCCCGCTGAACGGGGTCAGAAGCAATGCGGATTGGATCACTTCTGGTCCCTTAGCCGTCATTCCCCAGCTGCAGAAGCCAGAGAAGTAGCTATTGGAGCACGATCTGCACTCCAATAGCTTCTTTGGAGTGGAAAGGTGACACTGGGGGTCTAATAGACCCCTAATGTCACTTTTAAAAAGCACCTGTCACCACTAGTATGCAGTATGCAAACTTTTAGGGTCCTCTGCCCCTGCAAGCACACACATAATAATGTAAACACGCATTGGGTGCGACTACGTACAAAACCGACAGTGAAAGCAATAATTCTAGGGCCAATATTCATAGATATCTCTAAACTAATGACCTGTACAGGCTTTTAAAGCATCGCCTATGGACGATGGGGGTACAGTATTTTGTGTCTGTTTTACTTTTGTAAAAGAACATGGATACACTCACCAATTTTTGTGGTCTTTGAATTTTTCTTTATGTCTTTTATCCACCCTAGAAATATACAAAGTCAAATTACTATATTTATAAAGTCCATCAAAAATCATAAAAGAAAATGACTCTGTTCCTGTAAAATATCCAAAATGCAGACAGTCTAAGTGTTAACTAAAAATCCCTGCCCCTTCTTTCCCATACTTGATTTAATTTCACCCTGGTTCTACACTTTTGTATTAGGCGCACAATAGGGAAAAAAATCTCTTAACACAACCAGCTGGAGTCCAAGACTTTAAAAACCACTTAACACTAACTCTCAAGCTCCATTCACACCTATGCAATATAATGTGCATTGCCCATTGCACGCTAATGTATGACAAATGATTTCCATTCTTTTCTACAGGGCCTGTTCCCACCTGTGCACAGTGCTACTGTCCATTGGGGAAAAAATAGTACAGGCAAAGTAACCGATTCTGCAAAGGACAACCATTGTCCCCTATGAATGCACCTTAACTTACCTGCACTCCCCCTTGCCGCCCCTTTCTCCTCCACAGCCATTGCGTCAGTGGCCCAGGGGTATGTGACTGTGCTCATTTATGGTAAAATAGCAGGTTCATTATTAGGACGGGGGGGAGGGTTGGTGAATATCAGGCTAAGGGTTAGGTTATAGTTATGGGTCTGGACATCAAAGGCCATGTTTTTCATTCCATTTCATTTTCTTCTGGTGCTGAAAGCCAGGGACTGAACACTACTAGCACTCCTGCATGCCGCCCCTTGCTCCTCCTCCGCAGTCTCTGAAATCAGCTGATTACACCACTCCCAGAGGAGTGGTGATGTCACCCACCCGGTCATGTGGCAGTGCTCAGGCCTAGCAATTTGCTGCCAGGCTTGGGCACCATCACAGTGTACTCTTCCAAGAACTAGGTACAATAGTTCCGTTACTGATTACTGACTGTGGAACAAAGGACCCCAGTTTATGAAAAGTCGTGCCCCAGTTATAGTGAACTCCATTTTTATTGTAAATTCATATATGTGGAGGCTCACAATGCCCATCAGGAGTTCCAGCTAACATATGAACACTGAAAGGAAGTTAGGGCGCTTGGTACGTACCTTGGTCTACGTCTTGCAGTCCAGTCATCTGGTAGGACTGTTTGCCCTTTCTTCTAATTTGCAGCCATACTGGTGAAATGAGGGTCAATTTGGATGCAAATATTTTTGCAATATCATATCCATGACCATTCCACTGTGGGTAGAGGGAGCATCAATGCGTTAGCCGTGTTTACATCTTTGCAAATACATTTCAGCAAACATCTATCTAACAATACATTTCCCAGGACAGAATAATCCATTTAAAAAAAAAATCTAATTCTTCTACCTTTTATTTTATGGCAACATTTTAATGGTGCATTTGTTTGTCAGCCTTACATTGTTACCCTTTCTGATTATATTATATCACTGTTGTGTATCCTTGAGGTCAGAGCCCATTCATACTACAATGCCTTGCACCCCAACTCAAGAGCTTTCATGTGTTGCAGCCAATTCAAAATGAACTAAAATGCAGGAAAATGTAGTTTATTTAACCATTTGAGCCTCTGGCCTTTATTACCCTATAACACCCTTGAGTTTCAAAGTGTTTTTGTCATTTTGGTGATATCAGTTCCACACATGATATCTTTTAGGTTTTCAGTCTATCCTGACATACAATGCATACTTTTTCTTGAGACAGATAGGGCTTTAATTTGAGAGCAGATTTACATACATCTTTTATTTGCTCGGTTTTAATTAAGATAAAATAGTGAAAACAAATCCTGTAATTCTTTCCAGAGCAACTTTTCCATAATTAGTGCAGCCCCAGATATGTAGCCCAAAATATTAATGGCAAAGCCTGCTGATTAAAGGGATATCACATAACTGTAATGATGTTGTAACATAATGAAATGGTAAAGCACAAAATGAAGGTTTACATTTACAGCTTTATTCTCCTATTAGAGCTACTTTGTGAAACACATACAGGGAAGCAAAAAAAATCTCTTTGCATTAATTTTTAGCATAACATTCAGATCAGATCAAGTTAGGTCAGTGAGGACACAAATTAGCCTGGAAACTGGTTTTACAGGTTTTTGTGATCACTAATATTCCAAAGGGCATTGCAATTGCTTACATGAGCAATTGACCCTTAGTAGCAAATGCAAATGTTATTCAGATAATAATGAGACTTCATTGTTGAGACGATGCGATAAATCTGTGGAGGGATTTTTTTTTAAATGCGAATATATATATATATATTGTAACAAGGACACTCCACTGTAGTCCAGGTAAATCAAGTAAGAGACAGGAAAAGACTGCTTCAGTATTAAAAAATAAGGAAGTACCCTGACGTCACTTCACTTCAAATGTAAACACAATGCAGAAACATTGGGGGGTGGGGGGATTTACTAAAACTGGAGCAGATAGGATCTGGAGCAGCTGTGCATACTAACCAATCAGCTTATATCTTCAGCTTGTTCAGTTAAGCTTTGAAAATGAAAGCTAGAAGCTGATTGGTTGCCATGCACAGCTGCTCCAGGTTCTGTCTGCCCCAGTCTTAGTAAATTCCTCTCACTGTGGTTACAGTAATCTGCTATATGCGCTCCTATGGAGCAATGTGTAGCAAGATAAGAAGCCCAGGAGCCAATCGTTTCATCTGCTGGGCTTAGTGCTGGATGCTGGGGGTCACTAACAGCCGGCGGTACCAGCCCACATGCCAGCAGGGACCTGCAGCAGCTGCCGATTCCTGGTGCCATTTTAAAACTGCACTGGGACAAATAGCAGCCGGCCCTGTAGCGCTTGAAATGGCACTTATGACTCAAGTGGTTAATAAATTAGAAGCAGAGTGCTTCACAGATTGACCTACTGGACACCATGCTACTTTTCTAACTCTTGTCTCTACCTTATAATCTGCTGTGAGTGTTTTTTACTAGGCAAGTTATATATTTTTTTTCTCCAACTTCAGCTGAACTGATGAAAAATAACCAAATCTTCCATGGAACAATGGTGACATCTCCTGGAGTTTCTGTAAAATACATCCTTGGTCTACTACAAAGGCATCAAACCTAACTATATTCATGCATTTTACACTTTTAGACAGGTTACCTTTCAACACACAGCAAAATACTAACAGGGTTATTCACAAAAGGGTGAAGAGTTTGGAGAAGGCAGAAGAAGTGAACAATCTAGGACAACATAGCTGATATGGAACAATTCTCAAATTCAGCTCACTTTCCAGTTCAGCTATGTTGTCCTAGATTGTTCACTTCTCCTGCTTTTTCCTAACTCTCCACCCTTTTGTGAATAACCCTGTTAATATTATTTCCCATATTGATCAAGTGCAGTTCTGTTTCTAAGATTCGTAAAGTGCATGTAAACCCTAACACTTAACTTCTTTTATTTGCTCTCTTTGGGTCTACTAAATATACCATTAGAAATGTCTTGTTATTACTGTGCGATAAGTGCAAAAAATACCAGTTGATTTTGCCACAAATCGTGTGAGCTGATGACTTCCTGTGCTCTCCGCCTCAGTAAATGGGGGGGTTAAGAAGAGGAGAGGTCTGTGTTCTTTGTAATCCATCAGAAATTACGTAGGCAGGGCGGACGTCATGTGTTTAGGAATTCGGAGGTGTTGTCATATCAAAAAAGGAACGTAGGAGGAAACTATATCTCTGGCACATCAATAGTTATTCTTCTGCACTTGCAACGTGTTAAATGGATGTAGTATATCTGGTTTTTGTAGATCATTCCCATTCATTCATAACTGAGGATATAGTAAACATACCATGTCCTCAATTATGTACAAACACTCAGAGATCACTTATCATTGACTGCTTGTACCTCGCTCTCCATCTTGACAGCTGTCACAGGAGGCTGAGCGAGCGGACCTCAGCCTCCTGTGACAGCGCTGGCTGTCTCCGCCCACACTGCTCTCCTCTGATCTGTGACAGGAGGCTGAGCGGTGTGGGAAGGAGAGACGCTGACCGGAACTATGCCAAAAGTGCCATTTTCGGCTGATATGTTTTCGGTGGCCGATATATCGGTGCATCACTAGTACGAAATAGGTTTTGGGCTTTGACCTATGCTTTATTGGTGGCCTGTAGCCAGAGCAAAAAACAATATACTTGAAAGGTGAACAGCTATTTACCTGGTTCTGTGCCCTCTTTCTTGCTCTAATACTATAAAAGTGTGCACTTTTTATAATCAAACTATGCCTAATAACAGGGGTGGGCAATTCCAGCCTTCCAGCTGTGCTTTAACTACAAATCCCAACATGCCTCTGCTCTGGGAGTCATGGCTGTAACTGTCAGTCTTGCATTGCCCTATGGGATTTGTAGTTCCACAACCGCTGGAGGGCCGAAGTTGCCTACACCTGCCTTATAAGAAGCAAAAAAAGATTACTTTAAATGGCAGAATATAATTCAGCGTACATGCAGTACGGAAAAAAGTGAATGTATGCAAAGAATACAAGAATAGTAAATTGAATTGTGAAGAACATGAAATATTACCAACTTACAGGCGTTACATATCCCAGTACATCACCAGCGACATGACGCTCCTTTACATTTTTGGTGCAGTAACTCTGGTGATCAAGCACTATGTCTTTGGCCTTAACATCAGTGCTGACTAATCCTCGGGCCTGGACAGGGACATCAGAAAGGTGTGTCTGCAGCACAGAGACAGAACAGAATATAAGTGAAAATACATCTGGCAAAGCTTTTACACGCACTTCACTGACCGACAGTCCTTTAAAGAAAACCTGTGATTTGCCCATTCATGCAAAAGGCCCATTCTCCATGTACCACCTGCATATACAGTGAGGAAAATAATTATTTGATCTCCTGCAGATTTTGTACGTTTGCCCACTTACAAAGAAATGAAAGGTCTATAAATTTTAATGATGGAGACAGAATATCAACCAAAAATCCAAAAAAAACAAAACACATGATACAAATGTTATAAATTGAGTTGCAGTTTAGTGAGTAAAATAAGTATTTGATCCCCTACCAACCAACAATAATTCTGCCTCGCTATGTGGTACACAGATTAATCCTGTCAATTTAAGAAGGTGCTCCTAACGACAACTCGTTATGTATATAACATACACCTGTCCACAGAATCTCTCTCTTCCAATCAAACCTCACCACCATGGGCAAGACCAAAGAGCTGTCAAAGGACGTTGGGGACAAGATTGTAGACCTTCACAAGGCTGGAATAGGCTACAAGACTATCAGCAAGAAGCTTGGTGAGAAGGAAACAACTGTTGGACTGATTATTTGCAAATGGAAAGAATACAAAATAACCATCAATCGCCCTCAGTCTGGAGCTCCATGCAAGATTTCGCCTCATGGGGTAAGGATGATCATGAGAAAAGGATCAGCCCAGAAATACACAGGAGGAGCTTGTGAATGGTCTAAGGCAGTTGGGCCTACAGTCACCAAAAAAACCATTAGTAACACAATACACCGCTAATGGATTGAGATCCTGCAGCGCCCGCAAGGTCCCCCTCTTCAAGAAGGCCCATGTACAGGCCGTCTGAAGTTTGCCAAGGAACATCTAAATGATTCAGAGAAGGATTGGGAGAAAGTGCTGTGGCCGGATGAGACCAAAATTGAACTCTTTAGCATTAACTCGACTCGCTGTGTTTGGAGGAAGAAAAATGCTCACTATGACCCTAAGAACACCATCCCTACAGTCAAGCACGGAGGTAGAAACATTATGCTTTGGGGCTGTTTCTCTGCTAAAGGTACAGCCCGACTTTACTGCATTGAGGGGCCAATGGACGGGGCCATGTATTGTAAAATTTTGGATGAGAACCTCCTTCCCTCAGCCAGAACACTGAAGATGGGTCGTGGATGGGTCTTTCAGCATGACAAGGACCCAAAACCTACCGCCAAGGTAACAAAGCAGTGGCTCAAGAAGAAGCACATTAAGGTCATGGAGTGGCCTAGCCAGTCTCCAGGCCCTAATCCTATAGAAAATTTATGGAGGGATCTGAAACTTCGAGTTGCCAAGTGACAGCCAAGAAACCTTAAGGATTTAGAGAAGATCTGTAAAGAAGAGTGGACCAAAATCCCTCCTGAGATGTATGCAAACCTGATAACCAGGGCTTGAAAAATCCTCTCGTCTATGACGAGAGGACGGTGGAGCCCGACGAGCTCTAGAGACGGTCGTCTCTAGAGCTCTAGAGACGCCCGATTGCTTGCATCAGCAGCTGTCACTGCTGTTGCTGGTCCCGATATCCCCTGTGCCCGATGCGGCCGGGACAGGCACAGCTCTGTGACAGGAGATGAAAGGGAGTTCAGTATACGAACTCCCTTTGATCTCCTCTCATTCCCCGAATTTAGCAGGAAGTGATGTATAATACATCACTTCCTGCATTCAGTGTCACTCTCCAGCTACAGAAGCTGATGAAGCAGATCTCTGCTTCATCAGCTTCTCTGGGGGTCCCTATGACATTAGGGGTCTTGGAGACCCCTGATGTCTCCATAAAGAGGACATGTCATGTAAATTGGCTATCACATAGGGGGCTTCTTAGCATAGGGGGCTTCAAATGGGGGCTTCCCATGTAATAGCAATAAAGTTGTGTGTAAAAAAAAAAAAAAAAGAAGGTAATACAAAAATTAAAGAATCATAAAAAAAAATAAAGCATAACAAAAAATTAAAAAAGAAAAAAAATTTTAAAGTCCCCGCCCCCCACATACACACGCCGATATGCGTTAGGTGCGCCTACGTGCAAAAACAACGATTGCGCCTATTGTGCATATTGTTACATATCGCCGCAAACGTCGGAGTGAGAGCAATAGTTTTAGAGCCATTAATCACTGAGAACACTAAACTGATGTGCAGTAAAAGCGTTTTAATCGTCGCCTATGGGCGTTTTTTGCGATTTTGCGGGCGCGCGCAATTTTAAGGCTTGACATGTTTGGTGTCTATTTACCCGACGTGACCCCGACTTTTATGTTTTTTTAAAAATATGGGTAAGAATAAATGTTTTATAACATAATGTAGGGAAACTTTGTTTTGTTTTTTACATTTATGGTACTTTTTTTGTTATATAGTAAAAAAAAAAAAAAAATACCTCCAAAAGAAAAATCTATCTGTCCCCAAAAAATGTTAACATAAATTGCAAGGCTATAGTCCGGTCATGCTGACAGGTGACATTTTTGACTGACTGGTGAGACACCATCAAATTTTTCAAGCCCTGCTGATAACCAACTACAAGAAACGTCTTACCTCTGTGCTTGCCAACAAGGGTTTCTCCACCAAGTACTAAGTCATGTTTTGCTTGGCGATCAAATACTTATTTTACTCACTGAACTGCAACTAACACCTGGTGACGAGGGAGCAGGGAGACGGCTTCCCTGCTAATCGTGAAGCCAGGTGGCGAGACTTTACATGCAACCCGGCTTCCCGGGTAATCAGGAAGCCAGGTGGCGAGTCATTACACACCACCTGGCTTCCCTAATGGGACTTCCGGTATCGGTAATAGCGCGTTCCAGAACAAAAAAATATTGGTACTCGTAATCGATACCGAAAAACTGGTATCGGTGCATTCCTAAATCTAACCCTTCACCAGTCTACTAAAATATTTTTGGCAGTGTCCCCGCTGCAGGGATACACCAACATTTCTTGTCTGACAGGCAGCAGCACCACTGTTGTGGATAGTATAGTGTTTAGCGATTACCGCTATGCCTTACAGTGCCGGGCATAGTGGTAATTATTATTAATATTATTAGTTATTTGTTCCTTGCACTCTGTGTCACGTGGTCATGTGACAGACCACAAGAGTACATGACACAGATTTCAAAGGCAGAAAGCAGGGCACATCAGTCACCCATCTAAAAAGCACATTTGCAAGGTGGAGGCTCTGTAATGAATGATTTCACTATTGTCAGACATAGTGGTAATCAATGAACACTGTGATGCATACAAAAGCCAGGAAAAATAGCTGCTGGGGGAAGGGGAGGGGTGACTGGACTGCATATACAGCTGCTGTTGAGGAAGAACTGGAAAGGAAACCATATATAGCAGCTGGTTGTGTGCAATATATATATATATATATATTACACACACACACACACACCTATATATACACGGCAGTGGCATCACAAGGGGGACAGCCTGCACTGGGTGACACCATCAAAGGGGGTGACACCAAATTGACTAATAGTCATTTTGGTGTCACCCGCTAAATCAGGCACTCGGTCATGGACCAAGAGCCCAACAGCGGCATGAGAGAGAGGGGGGCACCCGGTGGCATACCTGCCGTGTCAATAACCCCTCCTGTCTTTGCAGTGTCCAATACCAAGTTGGCCACCGGCAGTGAAGTACATCACCGGATGATGAGATCACACCACAGACGTCATAATGCATTTGCGGCAGCCGCACTGAGAGACCCACCCACCCTAGTGCCGCCGCTAATATACGATGCTCTGGGGGCAGGGGGTATTTATATACAGATGCAGCAGGGAAACTATATAGATACCTGCTGTGGGTGGTGAGAACTGCATATATCAGATGAAAGTAACATTGTTGGTGGCTTCTAACTTTTTGAGTTAGCCACAAGACTTTAAAATTTTCCAAGCCTGGCTACACTTATCTTTTATATCAATGGGCTGGGGGATTGTGTTGATGGAATCAGTTTAAGGGACGGTTCACACCACTAAGTCTGCATTCCAGAGCGTTCGGCCTCTAAAACACACTGGAACGCAAGGTGGCCGGCTCCCTGCGTTCAGCGGCGGGAGGGGGTGTGGCGGTGCATTGAAGTCAATGGCATCACAGCCACGCCCCCCGTCCGCAGTGCAATCGCCCGCATCCGGAACGCAGGCACAATAGTGCCTGCGTTCCATTCCAATGCAATCTGCAAAAATAGTGCTCACAGCATTTTTGCAGATCACACTGGACCGGAACGCAGGCACTAATGTTCCTGTGTTCTGGGTGCGGCGATTGCACTGCGGGCAGGGGCGTGGCTGCGGTGCCATTGACTTCAATGCACCGCCCCGCTCCTCCTCCCGTGTCTGAACACAGGGAGCCGTCCGGCTTGTGTTCCAGTGTGTTCCAGAGGCCGAACGCTCTGGAACACACACTTTGTGGTGTGAACCAGCCCTTACATTCTTCTGAGTTCATTCAGAATACACAGACGGGTGCAGCTGACGACCTTCTCACCTGCATTTGGCCTGCTTCAAGCGGGTTTTGCAGTCCCATGGACTTATATATGAATGCAAAAAAAACCATTTAAAAGCTTGTCCACAAACCCTAAGTTACTTTATTATGCACATACTGACTTTGGCCCAAACCATTCTGCATCCTGAACCTCAATACTCAGGCTACCCATTAGACTGACAATTAAAACTTCCAAGTCACCCATTTTTTAAACTGATAGAGGTCTAAGGAAGCAGCCTCATGTTATTCACTATTCATTTTGTACAGTGTCCAAGCTCCAGGTTAAGCAGATTATGTCCCATTGTTAAAGAAAAACAAACAATCCTCAATGCTAGGACACAGTAAGCTTAGAAACATACGTTTGCACAGTGCTCTGTAGATGTACAGCCGACATTTTTCTATAAAACCAGCCATAGATATGTAAAAGGAGCTTAATAAAGTATATTCTTACTCCTAACACACCTTAAACTAATTGATTTAACTATCTATAGACAAAAAGGCTAATTTAAAGCTGAACTCCGGGCACAAAAAAAAATTATTTAGATATATAATTTAATAGCCACAAAATATATAAAATCGACTGTGTGTGCACTGAATGCATTTAAAAACCCAGATATTATCTTATAAAGCAGTGACATCACTGAGCTGAAATAAGTCTGTGCAGAGATCAGAGCCATGTGTGTGACCCAGCAAGTCCTCCCACTACAGGCTGCCTGCAAAGAACTACAGGAGGGGGGTGCAGGGACGTGCGGTCAGGGGAGGCAGAGCCTCACCTAGTATTATGGAGGGAAAAGCTGTCAGCTTCAAGTCTGATGCTGACAGCTTTTTCTCCATTCAGACTGGCTTGAAGCAGGTTACATAGCAGGGAAAGCCTCCCCGCTGAGTAACCTGCCATGGACTGAGTGCTGCCTGTTAATTACAGGCAGCGCTGCATCCGGCTTTTGACAGGTAGTTAGGTTACACAGTAGCGGGCTTCCCCACTGCTTGTGTAACCTAACATGGTGAGGCAAGAGCTGTTACAACCTCTACTCTGTGTTAGAGGCGTGAGCTCTGTGGATGGTTTGGACCAATGGCAAAGCGCCATTGGTTAAAGCTTTCCAATCGAAAAAACAAAACAGTGAGGGCATCGATCTCGATGCCTCACCAGTGACGAGCAAGTGAGGGACAGGGAGGCCCCTCCCCACACAGCTTGGTTACTGAGTTGGGGCGGGGCTTTGGTGGGATGGGGTGGAGCTTCGGTGGGACGGGGTGGAGCTTCAGTAGGTTGGGGGATGCCTCACCCAGCACGTCACTGGGGGGGCGAATACAAGACCAGTCATCCTGCACAAGGAGAGAGGGCTGCAGCGACACACTGGATTACTGCGCAGATCTGGAGAAAATAATTAAAGGACACCAAAATTCATGTACATATACAATAGCTCTTGCATTTAGACAATATTTGTTTAGCCTGGAGTTCAGCTTTAAATCTTTTTAGCTGCAAAGAAAACACAAACACAGTGTTCGTATTCTCAGTTCTATCAAGAGATTTTCCTTATCCACAAAGGCCCATTTACAGAACACAACCACACTACTATGTACGGACTTTAAACAAATAATGATGACAATTTAAAAAAAACAAAACAACTCAAATGAATGTGCAGGTATATAATGTGACCGCAGAGTTTCTGCACAGTTAGTGTGTATTTTATCCCAGTATTTGTTAGCTTACCTTTGTCTCCAGAGCCTTTGCAGATGATTTCTTTGAGTCACTCTTCGACAAAGTGGAATCACCCAAGTGGCAAGCAACTGCTACGGAGAGCAGAACATACAGCAGCCTCATCATTTCAAAGCTGACTCACTGCAACAAGAGAATGTCCAAAGTGACACAGCAGATGCAAAACTCACAGCCCTGGTTAGTTACTAAAGTGTGGGAGGGAGCCTGGCACTGAGCTGGAGGCAATGTCTGATCATCCAACCCTTCATTTCTACAAGCAGTGGCTGTCCAGCTCTATAGAAAGCCAGGCTGGGAAGCAATGACACGCTTCTCCTCTGCACTGGAATTCATGCAGAGCAAGTGATTTGCCTCTGAGCAGAAGCTAAATGCAATGTCCAGCTCATTATTGGGGGCAATATTTTGCCTTAGTGTGTTGAGGTGCCATTCAAAATTAACACTAACCACAATAACCTGAATGATCCTCATGTCTGCTGCTTCCCCCACTTCTACACCACTGCAATAATATTGACTGGCAGCAGGATAAAAAGCTTCAAGCTGCCCATACACCTTACAATTATCTGCAGATTCTCTGTGGACCACAGAGAATCTGCAGATAATTGTAAGGTGTATGGGCACCTTTACATAGAGTATGCTGCCACACAAAAATAAACCCATGCATTTGCTGCTAGTCAGTAAAACTAACCTGAGAACTAACCCAATTTGTTGGTACCCTTACAGCCAGTGCCATGCCAATAATGAGGCAACCTAAGACTTTTGCTGTAGGTGCCGCCTATTTCAGTCACAAAGGGGGACAGCAAGCAGAGCGGCATTTTGGCAGTGCAGTACGTCTGCCTACAGCCCTCTGCATAAGTACAAGCAAGTGGTTCATGCCCCACTGATCTGTACTGAAGCTGATCCGTGCTCTCTGAGCGCTGCTGGGAGACATATTACTTCAGAGCAGCCCCAGCCTTCTGTGCCAAATGTGAGAAGGGTGGCCTTAGACAGATCACAGCCCAGCAGGCCTCACCTCCTCAGTACAGCCTCCCCCTCATACTCTGCCCCTGGCAAGACTGGGGACAAGGGTGGCTGAAGGGATTGCAGCCAGGAAAAACAGCCAAGCCATAAGATTGTCTGTCCAGAAAGGTAAGTGGATCTCTATGTATGTATGTATGTATGTATGTATGTATGTATGTATGTATGCATGCAAGTAAATGTATCCAAGTATATGTATGTATTGTACAATATGTGCACAATAAGTAGGCAAGTTGTATTTTTGAGGATTCATTTCATTATTGAACAACTACAGTGCTCTCGGTCAATCCAAAATCTTAATAAACCTCAAACCTGAATATTTAAGAACGTAAAAGTGAGATTTTGGCTTTCTTAGGAGAATATCTGTGTGCACAATTATTGGGCACTTATTAGTGGGCAGAATTATTAGGCAACTAATTGGAAAAGGAAAATGTTCCCATCTCACTTGTTTAGTTTAATCTGTTAAAGTGAGAATAATAAACAAATAACTCAGAATTTACAAATAAACATTTGACATTTTAAAAAACAAAATCTGTGACCAATATAGCCCCCCTTCTTTTCAATAACAGTCATCTGCCTTCCATCCATGGAGTCTGTCAGTTTCTTGATCTGGTGACTATCAACTTTTTGTGCAGCAGCATCCACAGCCTCCCAGACACTGTTCAGAGAGGTGTACTGTTTTCCTTCACCATAAAGCTCCAGTTTAAGAAGGGCCCACAAGTTCTCAATAGGGTTTAGGTCAGGTGAGGAAGGGGCAGGGACGTGCGGTCAGGGGAGGCAGAGCCTCACCTAGAATTATGGAAGAAAATGCTGTCAGCTTCATGTCTGAAGCTGACAGCTTTTTCTCCATTCAAATCAGCTTGTTACAGGTGACACAGCAGGGAAATCCTCCCTGCTGTGTAACCTTTCATGGACGGAGCGCCTCAGCAGTGAGGAGCAAGTGAGGGACAGGGAGGCTCCTCCCTTCCACTAGCTTGGGGGACGGGTTGGGGGCGGGGCTTCGTCCGGCATGGGATGGGGCTTCGTTCGGTGGGGCGGGGCTTCTGTCAGCAGGGTGGGGCTTTGGTCGGCGGGGGCAAGGCTGGGGAATGCCTCACCCTGTAATGCTCGCCTAGGGCGAGGGTCAATCCCCTCCGTGGATCGCAACTGCGGATAAAACAAGGGGTGAAAAGGACGGTATCAGAATAACAGCTACTCCTTGATTGCCCAGTTTTGTATGGTATAGGCGGTTAGGAGGCTGCAAACATCACGCCCCGTTTGTTTTACAGGCAACAGGGACAACCTGACGTATCAGGTTTCCCCGGGAAATATGAACCACGGTTTCAACAGAGATAATTTATGAGCCGCTGACGAAATAGATTCACTGAAGCACTATGGAACATAGATTCAAATAGGTATACTGAGAGTACTATTAGGCAGAGATTCAAATAGGTATACTGGAGCAATATGGAGCATAGGTTCAATAGGTAGCCTGAGTAATATGAGCATAGATTCAATAGGTAGACTGAGTAATATGAGCATAGATCAAACAGGTATACGGAGAGTACTATTAGGCAGTGATTCAATAGATATCCTGAGTAACATGAGCACTGAGCCAATAGGTATATGGAGTAATAAGAGCACAGAGTCAATAGGTATACTGAGTGTGGTAGTATGCACAGATTCCACAGGTGCAACTGCACAGGGGAAGTGAGGATGTTGCATGGGCTAACCCAGGATACTTGCGGTTGAGAAGGTTTCTGCTCTCTCCATATGAGGGTATAGGTCCTGGTTGGATTGAGGCGAGTGGACACTGAGTTGCTCAGCGTCCTTCTACAATCAACAGAAAGACGCTGATCAACTACCGAATTTCGGCTTTATGCCGAGTGCTGCGTCTAAGAGGGGCGGAGCTCCGTGACGCGGCTGCGCTCGACGTAGACGGCTCTGAAGGGAGAGCTGAAGGAGGGCGCTGATGCGCCTGCGCAAAGCAGCGACGGCGGGCACCACCAGACGTCACCGCCATCCCACGGCGAGCCGGGGCTGCAGAGCCGAGGCGCGCCTGCGCAGGACCGCGACGGGCACCCGCACCAGGTCCCAGCAGTGTCCGTCCATTACACACCCGGAACAAGAGGTACCGCATGTCACTGGAAGGGGGCCATGTAATTATTCTTTCATCTTTAAGGCCTTTACTGGCCAGACACGCAGTGGAGTACTTCGATTCATGCAATGGAGCATTGTCCTTCATAAATATCATGGTCTTCTTGAAAGTTGCAGACTTTTTCCTGTACCACTACTTGAAGAAAGTGTCTTCTAAAAACTGGCAGTAGGTTTTGGAGTTGATTTTGAGTCCATCTTCAACCCGAAAAGGTCCAACTAGCTCATCTTTAAACCAGTATCCCACCTCCACCTTGCTGGTGTCTGAGTCGAAGCTGAGCTCTGTACCCGTTACTGATCCAGCCACGGGCCCATGTATCTGGTCCATCAAGAGTCACTCTCATCTCATCAGTCCATAAAACCTTTGAGAAATCTGTCTTCAGATATTTCTTGGCCCAGTCTTGAGGTTTGAACTTATGCGCCTTGTTCAGTGGTGGTCGGATTTCAGCCTTCCTTACCTTGGCCATGTCTCTGAGCACTGAACACCTTGTACTTCTGGGCACTCCAGGTAGGTTGCAGTTCTGGAATATGACAGCACTGGAGGATAATGGGTTCCTGGGAGCTTCACGTTTGATTCTTCTCAAATCTACAGTGGGTAAATGTGAACATAGTGTTCTGTTTTATTTATTTTTTTCACATCTCTGTAGGTTGAACTCAATGGACTTGTGTCTTTTTTCAACCTGACTAACTATGTAACATCTTTGGCGGTTCATTTGAGTCTTTTTTCCTCAACACGTTTCTTGTGACCATGTTGACTATTTGCAACAAAACATTCGATAGTTCTGTGAACACACCCCAATAGCTTAGCAATTTCAAGAGTGCTGCATCCCTCTGAAAGACTTGTTAACATTTTTGATTTTTTTTTAGTCAATTAAATCTCTTTTTTGGTCCATTTTGCCTGAGGAAAAGCAGCTGCCTAATTACTATGCAGACCTTGATATAGGGTGTTGATCTCCTAAGGCCACACCCTCCATCATTACACAAATACACATCACCTGATATGCTTAAATCCAATAAGCCTTCAAGCTTATACAGTTTTGTAGTGGGACAATACGCATTTGGTGATATGGTCAAAATACTCACTTGCCTAATAATTGTGCACACAGTGTATGTGAGTGTATGTACACTGCTCTCTGCAGGGAGATGATCGGGAAGTGAGCGAGCGACAATATGTGTTCGCTCACTTCTCGATCTACAGAGCCGACGTGTGACAGTTTCAATGTCACATGTCGGCTCTATGAGGATGAGTGTAAATCACTCACCTCATAGTTCTCCTTTAAATCTTAAAAATATATTCAAGTACCTTAAATCAGAACTATGAGGTGAGTGATTTCCACTTATCCTCATAGTTAGAGTCAACCTGTGACAAAGAAGCTGTCACAGGCCGATTCTATAGATCGGGAAGTGAGCAGAAACATGCCGCCGATCCGCTTACTTCCTGATCGTCTCCCACTGCCAGTCACCGCTCCCTGCAGGGAAACCCCCTCCACTCTCCAGCTCTAAGTGGAGGAACAAACAGGGAAGGGCACAGCTGGCTCTGCCTCTAGACAGGCGGAGCCAGCTGTCACTCAGGCAGCTGGGTGGATTCAGACAGTATTGTCGGGATCCGCCCCGGCTGCGGCGCTCTCAGTATTTAGCGGGCAATAGCTTGCGATATACTGAGCTTTGGAATGTAGGTGTCCACAGCACACCAGCACGACAAAAGCTCATAAGAATATTCTGAGTGACACCTATCAGTAAATGGATTTGCACTGACTTATGAGTTTCTGTCATGCTGGTGACATCTACTTTCTAAGCTGTTCTGTGTGCGGCGCCATCCGCTGTCATTTCAAGCACCCATTTACTTTTTTGGTGATTTCCGGTAAGGAGTGCTACAGGATTTATGACTTTTATACTGAGCTTTGGGTCACGGGAGGTTAGAAAATGTCCTCCCGCTGATTGGATGATTGACAGGCTTCCTCACCAGTCAGGATTGACAGGCTTGGATGATTGACAGGCTTCCTCACCAGTCAGGAGTGACTGGTGAGGAAGCCCGTCATCATCCAATCGGCCAATCAGCGGGAGAAGAGGTCAGAATGGAGCAGATGACTAGGCTGTGACACGGAGTGGCTGAAGCAGATGGAGAAGACGACACAGCAGGTTATTACTGCAGCCCCGCATGGGGGCTGGGCAAAAAAATGCTGTTTAACTGCATATAATATTTTTTTAAAAGACATTAAAGAAATAACTATGTAGATATTGCTAAGGCTTGTATCCCCCTAGTGGGGAAAATAGATGAGCACATGTCCAGACTCCAGACCAGAACACTGTATAGTGTGGCACAGCTATATCCAATTCTGCATACCTGGCTTTATATTATAAAAAAAAATGTAATAATAATATAAAGCCAGGTATACAGAATTGGATATAGCTGTGCCACACTATACACTGTGTTCTGGAGTCTGGACATGTGCTCATCTATTTTCCCCACTATGGGGATACAAGCCTTAGTTAGCAATAGCATTATCTAAATATTCATTTCTTGTTCATGTACTTCATAATATTAAAAAAAACTGACCTAAAATCATGATTTTGTATTGCTTTAGAAAAAATGTGACCTGTCCCTTTAAGAAAAAGTATCAGTAATTGGAATCGGTGAGTACTTGAAAAAAAGTATCGTACTCGTACGCGGTCTTAAAAAAGTGGTATCGGAGCATCCCTACAAATAAGTAAACTAAATGTAAGATTGTAATCCATCACAAGAGCGTAGTGTCACTTTGGGGCCCATGCAGACCTGAGTGATCCAGGATCGCACGGTCCTGTACAATGCAGACAGCGATTGCTGCACAGCCCCATTGATTTCAATGGGGAGACATCCACGCAGCAATCGCAGATACACGACGCGCGGCTGTTTTACAACGCGCGACCGTCTGTGCTGGGTGACTCCATGACCGTGCACGATTGCCTCGCGGTGATGTGTCGCTTAAGTGTGCACTAGCCCTAATGGATGGAAGCATGCATATATCACTGCCAGTGGGAATGAGGTCTGGTTTTCTTGGTGCAGAAAGAAATACAGCAGATGTTAATAGCTTGGCATGCATTTGCATGAAATGCCTGTAAATTGCTCCATTTCACAATGCTGCTGTGAACTAAAAATGACATGTCCCATTCCCGGGTCCGTTCCTCCTCATGGCCACTACACACAGAGCCATGACTGAAGAGGGCGGTGAATACACGTCAAATAATAACACGGCTGTGACATGTCATTCACCGCAATACACTCCACACACACTGAACTGCTGCACCACTCTCACACAAAACAGGAAAATGCGTTATATTATAATTCATTACAGCAGCCCGCCGAAGCCTGAAGCTGCTTATAGCGTTCCATGTGTAACTCAATACAACACTTCCTCGTTACCTGACTCACTGGCGACGTCACTGTCCGCTTACAATCAAGTTTATTGAAAGGAGGGAAAAAAATACATTTTCCGCCCTGACTGGTAACACAGAGTGAGGGCAGCACCATATACGGGCGTCGATTGGATAAGATGACAGAAAGGGGCGGGCTAGAGATTGCCTCGATTTAAAAGGGCGTGTCTCGTAATCTGTCTCCACCTTCCTCCCACGTGTGCGCTGTTATCAGTGATTTATGTGGAAGAATAATTGAGTGATAATCTCTGCGTGTGTGAGGAGCAGCCATAAGTCACCCACTCTTTGTCAGCACAGAACATTTGTATAGGAGAAGATATTAGAAGTTGCTACTTTCTCACCAGTGTATATACTGGACCTGATAAACCAGGGGTAGGCAACTACAGTTCCCATGATGCCTCTGGTATGTGAATCATACTTGTGGCTATCAGAGTCTTGCGGTGCATCATGGGACTTCTATTTTCACCACAACTGGAGTGATGAGGTTGCTTACCCCTGCGATCATCTACAAGGCCCCATTTACACGTAGCGACATACCTTTTGCAGCGGCCGGGATAGCGCGACTTTCGGGGCGACGGTAGCGCGACCTTCTCTGTCGGGCTCCATTAAAAAAAAGCAAAATCCGCCGAAAAAAGGGTCCTGTAGAAGCGACTGCGACGCGCGACATGGAGCTAAGACAGCTCCATTGAATATCATTAGGCGGCGACTTCTCGCAATATCGCACGGCAAAAATGCGCGATATCGCGGCGGAAATCGCTATGTGGGAATGGGGCCTAAGAGCTCATGGACTGTACAACATAATTACCTTTTTTTTCTCCCATTTATTAGCTGAACAAACATTCTTATTTTACTTTCAATTTCTTTTTTTTTCCAATTCCTGGTCCACTTTTACAAAAATGATGTAACTGTGCCCAAGCATTACATCCTGGGAAGGTTACATCAGCAGAGCCATGGTGGGAAATCTCGTCTGTAATCTCACAAGATCTCAGGGAAAGGTATTTTCCTCCCCTGAGATGATGAGCATGGTCACGTGTCTAGTCACATGTGCCAGAAATCCAGGAAGTAATAGGAGAGCTAGTAATCTGCCCTTAGGGCCTGTTCACACCATATGCAGTGCGGCCGGCTCAGTATTTCATGGGGGCTTGGGTGGCCATTGAAGTGAATGGTACTGTAGCCACGCCCTCCGACCGCAATGCGATCGCCCGCACGGGATCGCAAGGCAAATTGTGCCTGCGGTCCGGTACGGTACGATCAAAATAGTGCTAGCAGCATGATCCCGTGCGGGCGATCGCATTGCGGCCGGAGGGGGTGGCTATGGTGCCATTTACTTCAATGGCCAGCCAGGCCCCACGAAATACTGAGCCGGCCGCAATGCGATGCAGTGTGTTCCGGCCGGAACGCAATACATGTGGTGTGAAGAGGCCCCCAGTAAACATGGCCGCTGTCAGAACACTGGAGAAAAGAGAAATACAGTATGCATAGAATACAAAGCCGGCAATTATTTAGAAGTATGTGTTTGTAGATTCAACCAAACTAATTAGGGGTATGGAGGACCAGAGCTATGGGACAAGGCTACTAAATTTAAACATGTTCACATTGGAGGTGAGGAGATTAAGGGGGGATATGATCTCCATGTACAAAATGTTCAATGGTGGTAGCAACATTAGTGATAAACTGTTTAAAATTAATTCCATTACAAAGTTAATGATTGGTGAAGACCTTTCTGCAAATGTCAAGCTACTCTGAGCAGTTTGAAAGTGAAACTTGAGGGATAGGCTGAGCTTCAGTGGCGGAACAACCGGGGGGGCGTTCGCCCCGGGCGCATAGATGGCGGGGGGCGCCTGCCGCGAGCCGGGCCGACTGTCAACCCCCTCGCATGTGTGTTCGTCTTCAGACGCCAGTGAAAGCCAGCAGCAGAAGATCCCAGGTGGCCCGCACGGCATCTAGCCGGGCCCCACTGTGCCCTGGGCCCCATAGCAACCGCCTATGTCGCTATGGTGATTGTTACGCCACTGGTTACATGTTCCAATTCACATAGAATAAGCTAAAAAAAGACTTATTTTACCATTCCTACTTGTTTCTATTTCTTTTGTAATATTAGGAGGGGTTGTGAGGGGCTTCTCCATTGTATGTTAATGAGATAAGCACAATCTTCAAATTTCAGAACTAAGTCTTTTTATAAGGACGGATCACTGTGAAGGTGCTGAGAAAAACCTGGAATCAACCATGATGCCTGCTGCAACACAACATCTAAAAGGTAAGAAATATTTTTTTTTACAAATTCTTTTTTTCAGCATGCTGTGTAGATAGATACACATAACAAACATATAGAGGGGGTTTCTCAAATTTGACTGCAAAAGTGGAAACAGCAGTTAGCCCATCCGACACTAGAGAGCAGCAATGCTACATCACCAGTCGCACATTTTCTGATCCTGCTGTGTCTGCTCGTTTAATGATCAGAAGTAGAAGAATGATTCTGCTTGATGAATGTTAGCTCTGTAGTGTTGCCAGAATCATCTGTCAATGGAGTACAGGGACCAGGTTGTGTTACATTAGGTTCAGTTCAAAGACGCATAACACATAGAGTATTCAATATCCTGCATGAGGTCCCAGGTGTGACAATAAAGGAGATCGTTTAGGTGGCGGTGGGGTCATCTAGATTCCGCTCTCCCGATCCTCCAGGTGTCTCCCTTACCTCGCAAACTAACCCTGCATGGTGAGTACTCAATGACCAGATCCATGGCGATCAACTGTATGCAACAATCTGTTCAAAATAGACCACATATACAAACCTGCTATTGCCTAATTATAGATGTATGTGATCCTAACCTAATGTATGTCTAAACAAAGTAATTTCTTCATTGTCAGATCCACTTTGGGTCCCCTGATGAAGCCACTGGCGAAACGCGTCGGAACCTTTTAAGATAAGTCGTGTTAGGGGCAATTATATTATTGTTAATTCTGTGATCAATATCATGTAATTTCAACACCTGGATTATATCAATATGTATGTATTATATAAGTGACTACATTTATACAAACAAATCCCATGCAGGGTTTTGATAAGATATATGAAATGCATTGATTTTAAATTTTATACAAACCACAAAATAAAATTTGATATATATTTTTAGCAACATCTTTCTTGGATGGTCAATTACACCCCTCCAGAAACCCTTTTTTTTCCAATATCCTGCATGATTTCGATTTTTCCATTCATGAAAGGCATTACCACACACACATTGGATGTTTGAATCACAAGTACATTTTAGATGTTTCAAGTTTTTAGTATAGAAAAGTCAAACCAAAAGATTATTGCAAGAGTTATAGCAGAACCTGTCAGTCTGTAAAACATCCTAAATGGCAGCACCCTGCAATAGAGAAGGTACTATATTCACCTCTCAGACAGCATCTCAGACTCTCCAGCATTCAGCGCTTCTGGAAATATCGGATGCCTGTGTTACCTGCTGCATACTGTGGTTCTGTCTTCCAACCCCTTAATCACTGTTGTGTTCTGTAGTTATGTTGGGGTTGGAGAACAGAACCACAGGATGTAGCACATCAAACAGACATCCAACACCCCCAGAAGTGTCCAATACTGAAGAGACTGACAAAGGCTGGAATGGAGCAAAGGTGGGAGAGGATGCCAGTAGCATTTGGCAATCATTTGCAGGTCCTATGTGTAGACAATTGGAATTTTATCCCCTGGGGAAGGCTTTCTATGATGCACAGAGATGCCCTCCTTACCATCTTGTCTTGAATTGTATTGCGATTCTAATGTCTACCTTATATTGAAAAGCGCAGTGCAAACTGTTGGCGCTCTATAAATCCTGTATAATAATAATAGCAGGGTCAGATTTAGGCAGGCAGAGTAGGCACGTGCCTATAAGTGACAGAGCCAACTTGTTCACCAATCCACCAAGAGATGAGTAATGATATATTAGAGGGCTTTTCTTTATCCTTTCCCCCTTTATTTAAAACAACAAAAAAGAATTTGGTTGCAGCTAGACCATGTCACTGCTAAGGACATGTGCTATATGTTCTGGCAATCAAAGGGTTAAAACAAGCTCACTCCTATTTACTCCACTGGCTTTTCTCTTTACAGTAAAAGTGATCTTGGTGGCTATAATGTCACCTGATCACTTCTATAATCACTTCTATACCTGCCAAAAGTGCCTCCGTAGTTGTGTCTGGGCTTACCTATCTCGTTGGTGAGCGATGGATGGAGAGCAAGAAGAAATTGGGGTACTTCTTTTCAACCATCTCCTCTACAAACCGTGAACATGGAAGCACTCAGCTCTGAGCACTTCCAGGTTATAGGTAAACAACTGTTTAGGGACTCTCTGATCAGCTTGGATTGGAGGTAAAAGAAATACGGTCTAATAGGTCCCTGATGTCTGTAAAAGCAAATGTCACTGTCTCTTTACTATCACATAGGAGGCTTGTCAGCCCCCTTTTAAGGGGGTGATAAAGTTAAAAGTGTAAAAAAAAAATAGATTTTAAAAATGTTAATGACTGCTGCCCTGTATATGCACACTTTCATGCTGAGCCATCAAAATGAAAAGCTGTTATTTTGACAATCCCAAACCACAAATGCAGTGCACTATAGTGAACCACAACATATGGATGTGAATGCTCTGCCTGGTTTGCTGGAATAAAGTGCGGAACCCCTTTTTTTTCATGCATTGTGGGGTATTCAAAATAAACAGGCTGCCTAATGCATCATACCTCAAGGCACAAAAATGCATGGCCTAAATGCATGTGAGCTTTAGCCCATGCCAAAGCTTGCTGCCAAAAACTGGATGTTGCTGCTATAAAGATCTAGTGTGAAAAACACATGTAATGGTGCGTAAAGTACTCTCATATATGCACGTACATCTTATATAAGGTTACACGTGTAAAATAATTCTAGTGGATAGAATATTAATTTGTTCTAGCCAATGGAATGATGAATTTACGTAGGTGCGCACCATTACACACATTGATGTATGTCAATTATGCCAGTGTGCCCTTTTT